GGGGTGCGGCACCACTGACGGAAGGAAGAAAACGTGGCGGTGCAAGGTCAGTGCTGTCGACAATACCGGCAACACGAAACATAGTCAATAAAGGAGTAAACTGAAGACGCCAAGACGAATAGTTGGCTCGAGATTGTAGCTTCACAGTAAAAGAATGATTGAGAGATTGCAGACTAGGTTGAAGAAGTGAAGAAGGTGCCGCCGGCTGAAGATGGGTAGCCTGGTCGGTGGATGAAAGGTCGGTGATAGTCATCGTTGAAGAGAAGTAAGCAAGACGGACTACGGCCCAAGTGGTTTTTTTTTTTTTTGGTTTTTTTTTTTGTTGTTTTTGTTTTTTTTTTTGTTTTTTTTATATTATGGAAGAACCAGCAACCACCGAGAATAACGAGCAGCAGGCGGCGGCAGGGAGGTAGAAGGCGACGACGCCGGCAGCAGCAGCTGTGGACGACAGAGGAAGAAGCACCGATGACGCCGACGAGTGTCGAACGAAGAGCTGCAGCGCAGCACGACGACGACGCGAAGACTGCGAAACGACGACGACGACGACGACGACGGCAGCGAAACGACGACGATGAAGACGACAGAAAAACAGGGGAGAAGAGCCGACGACGGCAGAAAGACAACGGCAGCAGCAGGAGGAAAACGACGACGAACAAACGCCGGCGAAGAGCCTGTGTGAGGCGGCGAAGAGCAGAAGCAAGATGTGTGATTCACAGCCGAAGAAGAATAAACGACGGCAGATGAGGTGTGCACAGCCGGCGGATGAGGTGTGCACAGCGGGGGAGAGAACCGAGAGAGGAGAGAGAAAAAAAATAGATTTTGCTAAACCTAGCTCGATACCAACTTAGAATAGGGAAATTGTATTTGATTCATAATATATTGTGCACAATATACAGACTATATATAGACAATAACAAACCCTAATCTAGGACATAATAGGAAATATACTAAATATTACAATAAACAATCTCTGGCAGCGTTGCGCAATCGAAATCCAAGTAGAAAAAACAACCCTGTGAACATTGATAAATCTTATTGAAGAGAGGTTGGGCACAAGCTCTGCAAAAACAGGGTTTATGCGTGGGAAACTGTTGTAAAAGAGTGTGTTGGTGGGCTTTATGAATCAATTTGGGTGGCATAAAAGCACATTTCACATCTACGAAGCCATATCTGCAAATTCTGCACCCGAACAAGTAGCCATTACAATGTAAGTTGCAAATGTGACACTTGAAACTCTCCCATAAGTTCATGAGAAATGCCAAATTAAGTTTATGCTGCGTGTGAAATGGATGCTCCAACTCTTGTGGCAATTGAGCACAGGTAAAATGGACAAAGTAATTGCATTCTCGACATTGAATGCAAGCATAATCGATGATCGGACCGGCGCATCGGTTGCATGTGATTTCTGTAACGTTTGAGTTTAAAACATCCCGCACATTCACATTAACAAACCTATGTCCACAACGACTGGCTTTCACAATTTCGGGAATTGGCAGGATTTCCAACCTATGTTGTTTCTGCAATATTTTTCTGATTAACTCCACAAATTCATAACCTATAGGGAATTTGATCAAACCCTGCTCTTCATCATCCCTTCGACCGCGAAGATGCCTCTCATAAGCTCTGCATAATGATTATTATGTAAACTGTCAAGAGATTGTGTTTATTCCTGAGTTCAATTAAATGCTAATTGATGGGTTACAGTAAAAGAGTACTTACATTGAATGTATGTAACCTTCTATACACCTCAGATGATAAATGTACCTACAAGGGCGGCAGTAATAAACCCAACTCCGTAATGGTATTTTCTGTGGCAATGGTCGCAGGGGATATCATGTTTTCGGAACTCAATCGGAACAGAGTTGGACAGAGAAAAAGGATGATCATGGTCGTGTCGGAATTTGAGCATTGGTAAATTAGCGCAGCTCACGTTGATCCATTCTTGACGTGTAACACAAATGTATGACAGCTCTTTATTTTCTCCCCCACAAGCATCACAAATGAATTTGGAAGGTCTCTGCACAAGTGCCAACGGGTGTTCTTCGTGACATGGATTATCCAATTTGGGCTCCGGCAAAACACAGAGTATGTGTAGATTTGTCGTACAAATGGAACAATTGTACACGAAACTTTCACAGTCTTTATGACATAGACCACATCTGGGAGTATAAGGCGGGTTTCTCCCTGTCAATTGACAGAGATTGTAGTCCTTTTGTCCCGGCTTGAGCTTCGGTGGCTTTTCAAAAAGTGTTAGTTTATTGCGCCCGGCATGATCTCTTTGATCTTGATGCAGGGGATGATCTATGGTCTGCCTCGGCAACTCAGCACATCTTTTGTGAAGGAAGAACCCGCATTCCTCGCAGCCGAAAGTCGGTTGCTTTGATTTTGTGTGTAATGGTTTTTCACAGGCATTGCATAATTTGGAAGTTCCTATTCCTTCATCATTTTGATGATGATGATGATGATGGGCGGGTTGTATTAGCTTAAGGGGATGTTGTGGGTGGCTAAAATGAGGCATGTCCTCCAATTTCATCATCTCTGGCCTCTCACTTAATTACTCCAATCATGTAAAATGCCATTTAAGGCATTTAAATCCTGCTTGTTCATCTTCTTGCTTCCTCATTGGACTTCTCTTTTCATTAAACTAGAATTTTTACGACCATGGTGTGGAGCCAGTTTAATCATGGGGTTTAGGAAATCCATTTATCAATGGTCATCCGAATAACTTGGGAGCCTTAGCAATCTCTTGCTTTGGGAAATTACAATGTTGGGTACCTTTAATTGTGGGATATGGTGGAATTTTATACAGGGTTTATTTCTTAATAGAGGAAAAGGTAAGATTGGTGAACAAGCATGGCATCGGATCAGACCGTTGCGTGCTGTGACAATGATTTTTCATTCTTTTCATTTTTGTAAGGAGATTGAAATTTTTTGCACAAACATCAATTGATGTTCATGACAGGGATGGTCTATTTTGGATTCAGGAATGAAACTTTTGTAGATGAAGTCATTATTACAGGGCTTTGCTAAAAGTGTGAGTTTATCTCTAGGATACAGAGGAAGCACCATCTCCATGGGCAGCTCTGATCATGTTTTGTGAAGAAAGAATTGGCATTTTTCACAACAGTAAATAGGTTTCCTTGGTTTTGAATGTAATGATTTTTGACAGCCATAACATAATGTGGATGTCCCTTCAACTTCATCACTCTTATTATGATGATCATGACGGATTTCAGTAAGTTTATGAGGATGCTTTGGGTGATTAAAATGAAGCAGCTCCTGCATTTTTGCTTGTCAATTAGTTTCTACCGCTTAACTTCGAGCTTTAACAGCAATCCCAACTTTAATAAAATAATAACTATATGTTGAGTACCTTGATTAATCATGGAGTATGCTGCAATTAATACAGGTGTATTTTTTAATGGAGAGGAAAAGGTAAGGTAGAAGGTGGAAAACCTTTCCGGAAACATCAATGGGTCTTCATGGCCGGGATGATCAAATATGGCCTCTGGAAAAGCACATCTGATGACATACCTCACAACCGAATTGGTAATCGTAACCAAACCGGCAATGTAGACAGTCCTTTACACAATCAAGTTTCAGTCATCTTCTGTATTATCAAAGGAAATAAAATAGGACCACACCAGATAAATTATCTGCGAAATTGATTTCTTAAGGCCAACAATTGTGCATATAAAAACATGAAGCACACTTTTTTCTTTTTTTTTTTCAGAATCTTTTATGTAGTCAAATAGAGTTAACCTTTCAAATCTTAGTACCTGCAATAAGACACAATGATCATATAAAAAATGTTAAAAGTTATTTGCCCGGCCTCGACACCCTGTTGGAAATTTAAAAAAGATGTATAAAAAGTAGTAAGCTTTAAATGGGAAATAAGAAAATTATGAAATTACCTATATGAAAAAAGAAACAAACAGAGCCAGCCACGACTCAGAAATGAATTTGTCCGGGAGCAAAAGGTCTAATCACCATTCTTAAAAGAACTCTCTGAGTGAGTAGTGTTCATCACTTGAAGCCCAGAAAACCTACTTCTTTTTACCAAGATTGCGTTTGCTATCACCCGAATGCGGGATGTACTGAAGCTGTTGCACTAGCTGCCTTTAGCTGTCAAATCTCCAATTACTATGGAAACGCTATTCTTTTTTCGTTAATGCTTTGGCTATGGCGGATTCTAACTTTGATATTATTTGGCACTATGCGCAGGTTCAGAGATTGGTTTCTAAATTGGTTTAGGGACCAGGTTGTCGAAGCCATCATGGATGTCGATCTGTTCCAAATATGAAGTCGCAGCTGAAGAAACAGTAAAAGAACTAGCTAAAATGATCAAAGCAGCAAGACATCACATTAAAAAAAGGATCATTTAAAATGATTGCTGGATGACAATCTAATAGTTGGACTTAGAGAACTCACCTGACTAAGTAAAGCTTCCTATTTCAGTAGGTGACACTTCATTTTAGTGAGGCCAAAAATGCTACTCGCAAATTCTAAATTGTATTGATCATTTTGTCAGAGCTTCATTGTGCTCACATTACAATCACCAAGTGCTTCCAATATCCGAGTTCCAGAACACCATGCTATCCCTTCTTCTGCCTTCAAGTTTTATCTCTTTTTCTCGGCTCTCGAAGGATAGTTGGGTAACAGAAATGGATAGCCAAGATGAACAATTAACATCTCGAGGGAAACTGCATCTTTGAGGAAGCACTTGATTATGTCCAAATTCAAATTTCATGGCCACCATATCCATATACCTCAACAACTTTAAGATGTTGCATGCCATTAGTTATGTCATTCTCCGACTTTCTATTGCTCTCGTTCTCCATTACTTCTCTGAATGGTTCTTCCAACTGCAGAAACAAAACTTGCTCAGTTTACCAAAATATCAATGGTATGGTACTTTTTAACAGAATAACAAGTCTGTCTACAAAGAGAAGAAATTCAGAATATAAACAATCTACTACCTTTAGTTTGAACTATTCACGGTTTGGTGACAATCTAAAGAAGGAAAAAAGCGCAGATACATTATCTTCTAAGAGAAAATATAGCTGTATAAATAACTGCTTTCGATAGCTGAGGAAGTTTTCCTTCAAACTGGGATGACAGAACCACAAGTGGCCAAACACAGAGATAAAACACTCAGAATTAGGGAAATGATAATTAAAATCAAATGGAGTAAAATACAAGTTGTTTTCTATTTGTCATTACCATATCAACTGTCATATTATTCGGTTTGTTAGAACAATTGAAGGAAAAAAAAAAGTTTATTTAATATTAATATACAATTAATGCAACAACTGAATGCTAAATTTTTGGCTACGATTCGTACCGCCAATGGCCCGAATACAATGAATAAATATGCAACTGAACTTGGGCAGATACCTTCAGAATGCAAACAATACCTAGTATATCATTCAGATATCTGATCTGGGCCGATAACCTTTCCTGATTTTGCAACTTCTGATACACAACTGAGGCATATGCAGAATCGGCAACTTGCGCATTCAAACACCCTTTTGCCGTGCATGAGTTTCCGACAAGAATCACACTTGGAATAGTAATAACCTTCGCGGACAAATCTGAGAGCATGCGGATGTTTGCCATATTCAAGAGTGGCACCAAAAATGCAATTCCGATACCGGATTTTGGGGATACAGTTAGGATGAAAAGATCGATCACATTCTTTACAATGGTAATGCCATCGTTTAGGATGAATTTCTTCTTCGCAGATCTCGCAATAGAATTCTTCAGGACGATCACTGAAAGGAGGAAAGCTGAGTTGAAGCGGATGCTTATCCCACCTATGCTTGACAGTCTCTGGCAACGTGACACATTCATAATCCAGAAAGAACTCGCAATCCCCACAGCTGAAGAACAGCCACGAAGGGCGGACACCACAAGACCGACATTTGGAGCTAGTGTTTCCATAATTTTGGTGGAGTGGAAGATTATGTCGGTGTGCCATATGCATTAGGCTATAGGGCAACAAAGCACACTTGACATCCAAATGGTATCCCCGAAAACAAGTGCTGCACTTGTAGAAATAGCCATTACAATCCAATCCGCAACCATCACAAATGATCTTTCCCCAGACATTTTTAAGAAAACACAACTGAAGTTTATGCATCCCACGCTCGTGGTGTGACGGGTCAATCTCTTTGGGCAGTTGAGCACAGGTGAAGTGGAAAAAGTAGTTGCATTGTTCACATTTACCGCAGAAAGAAACGATTGGTTCTGTGCATACTTTGCAGACGATTTCTTTGTCGTTTGAGTTTGAAACATTTTCCAGGTTCACAGAAACAAGGGAATGCTCACAACGACTAGGATTCACAACTTTGGGATCTTGTAGAATTTCCTTTCGACGTACCTGCAACCACTCTTTTATTACCTCCACAAAGTTGCTTGTAGGCAATTTCAGCGTACCCGGAGTCACAATTCTTGGAGTCCTGCTAATCATGAAACAATGCTGAAGAGACTGATTATGCCTTTGAAGAAATATTGAACTATTGGAAATGAAACATATACTACTTTACCTTGAATTTCTGTAATTTCCAAAGCAGCCCAGATGAAAGATATACCTACAAGGGCTACAGTAGTATACCCAACTATAAAATGGTATTTCCTTGAAGCAAAACTCACATGGAATCTCATGCCTGAGAAACTCTGTCGGCACAGAGTAAGCCAGAGAAAACGGGTGATTGTGGTCATTTCGATAATTGATACTCGGTAACAATGCACAGCTCATGTGAATCCATAGGTGACATTGGGCACAAACATATGATTGTTGTTCATCTCTTCCCCCACAAGCATCACAAGTGAAGATGGAAGGTTTTTGCAGACATACCAACGGGTGCTCGTGACTGGGATGATCCAATTTGGTCTCTGGAAAAGCGCACCAGATATGCAGATCAAACCAACAAATGGAACAATGGTAGACGAAACTCTCACAGGCCCCGCGACATGCGTCACATTTGCTGTATGAAGAAGGTGGCGACGCGAAAAGTGCGAGTTTATGCTTAGGATGCAGGGGATGTTTCTGGATCTCACTCGGCATCTCTGCACATCGTTTGTGAAGGAAGAATTGGCATTCCTCACAACTGAAATAGGGCTCCCCTGCTTTTGTGCGTAACGGTTTTCGACAGCCATTGCATGATTTGGATGTCCCTGCGGATTCATCATGATGGAGTTTAGTAATTGGTTTCAGAGGATGCTCCGGGTGGCTATTATGAAATAACTCCTCCATCTCGGTTCTCAAATTTCCCACTATTGTGCATTATCATTGTAGTAAGCTAAAATCTCAGCTGACAATGGTGGAGCCTGATTTTGTTCGCTTCAGGTTCAAATTTCAGAATCCTTTTTTTCCTTTTTCGCTTTTGTCAAATTAAGTTGTCCCAACTCCCAGCTTTGATAAAGTAATTATCTAATAGACTAGTACTTTACTGGATTATGGGACATGCTGGCAATGAAAGCCGTTTCTTAATGGAAAAAAGGAGGTGAGATTGATGAATTAGCAAAGAATCATCCGACAATGCTTTTGTAAAGTAAACCAGCTATTAGAAATCGACAATTTCGGAATATTACAGATGATCTCAGATGAAAAGAGAAGCAGATGGGGGCTCATTAAGGACTAACTAATCGCCGGAATCCACTTAAACTGCCGATTTCATGGTGAATTGGTGAGTTTGGGACATCTTTATCAGGGGGGACTGTCATTACTGAACCAACGGCTTTACAGTTCTGTTACAGTTGAAACCTTTGCGGGCCGGCGATTATTCTACTATCATTATTTTTTAAATGAAACGAAATTTTGTTTAACTAAGCGATCTTTTATGATTTACAACATTTACAATAATTCTTCGCAGATGATTCTCTTGTTCATAGTAAATATTTTCCAGTTCTAAAAACAAAGTACCTTTAGTCCAGTCTAATTGTATCCCCATAATTCCAACAATAAGGGTGTGCATTTTTATCCCCTTTCCAACAATAAACTTGAGTAAGGGATGATCCATCGGTTTAGAACCTCTTTAAAGTGTTACAAGCATAAATTAACAGAACCCGAATCCAGCGTTGATCTATATACAAAGACTTATTATACACTCACAAAGACAACAAATAAAGATGACTAAAAATGTCACAAAACTAATACAGTACGTAGCCAATCACATAGGATACCCGAATGAGAGAAGCGGCTTGGTTAAAGATTGAACTGGTAAATTATCAATAAATAAATGAACAATTGAGCCCTTGATGTGGAATTGGTATAAAGCTTTTGCAAAGCTGGATACTTTACTTTGTGCAGTGGAGAAGTTCATTGGTTCAGGAAATAATATTATCCAAGGAAAAGGAAAGACCATTATTCCTCGGTCTTGACTCTTGAGGTTTTCATTCCCTTACAAAGCATTGAGCAGTAGTCATATCGGATCTTCAGGTCACACTTATGGTTTCAAGGTCTTTTCTTTCTTAGACACACAAGATCTTCGTCTCAGTCGCAATCCAAACATACAGCCAAGTATTTATCAAGAAGAATTCCGCCCAGATTTTTTCCGCGCCCAACGAGCATATAGCTACAATGATTAAATATCTGTAACACCAAATCATGCTCCGAAATCACCATGCCGATTTTAGCACACACAAAATTTAAGGGGAAGGACAAAGTAAAGAACAAAATTAGATGAGAGAATTATTATTACCAGAGGTTTTGGTTCAAAACCTAGTTGGGAAACTCCTTTTCATTTTCTTTTTTTTTTTTTTTTTTGAGGAAATAACAGAGCTCAGTCACTATGATATATGTCATTGAGGACGGCAGTTTCATGCACTATAATTCAAAAAGGAAGGAGAGAAGCAAAAATGATATCGCTTTAAGGCTGGTGGTCGTATTATTATTATTATTATTATTATTATTATTATTATTAGACGAGTCCTAATTATACGGCCCAAGTTCGGTAAGTGATTCAACCGGACCCTATAAGTTTCTGGGGCGGTTGCTAATTACTTTCCTGCCAAGAAAAAGATTTCACAAGCAAGTAACCCTAGCTCTATAAATAAGGATCAACCCCTCACATCAAAGATACGCTCTACGCACTACAATTCATACTCTATTATAATTACTCTTGCTGACTTAAGCATCGGAGTGTCTACCCTCGGGAGACCCCGAGGTCCTCTTTTGCAAGTTTTAGGGTTTTGATTCAGCCATGGCAACCAGAGCAACTAACCAGAGACGTTGGTACAGATCCATGCTTCATCAATTGGTACAGATCCATGCTTCGTCAAGTGGCACGCCCAATGGAACCGTGACTACGTCTCCTTCTAATTGTTTGAAAAACTCTATCGGCAAAAACCCGGTCAGATTGCTCTATCTATATATTTTTGTCGAAAGTTATTTCAATCGAGCCTTCCGATTAGTACTTCACGTACTAGAATTAACTTAATTCCTGTTTATGAGACAAAGTTGTGTACTTGTTGTTGCTCCGTATGCATACCCAATACCGATCCCCTAGATTTAGGAGTTAGTTTTAAGTAGGTTTTATAAATATTCTCTTGGGGTGAAATCAACGACAGTCTATTTCAACCACCACCGTCAAAAGCATTTTTTAGCCTAGTTGCAAATGCCACTATGTCTATAACTTCGCCATCTCAACAATCACCGTGGTTTTTTGATGTGCGGTATCTCATCATGTAACTTCTAACCAATCTGCTTTACATGGTTTTTTTGACTATGGGGTCGACATGAGATATTCTTGGGTGATGGTAAAAGTCTTTCTATCTCCCACACTGGTTACAAAACAGTTTTAACACCCTATAAAACACTTTCTTTTGATCCGATGGCTTGTGTTCTATGTTTGTGGCATAACTTAATTTCCATAGCAAAATTGTGTAAATCTAATCCAGTTTATGGTTAGGATGCAGGGGAAGCTTCAGGATCTCAGCACATCGTTTGTGAAGGAAGAATTGGCATTCCTCACAACTAAAATAGGGCTCCCCTGATTTTGGGCGTAGCGGTTTTCGACAGCCATTGCATAATTTGGATGTCCTTGCGGATTCATCATGTTGGAGTTTAGGTGTTGGTTTAAAAGGATACTCTGGGAGGCTGAAACGAAACAACTCCTCCATCTCTGTTCTCAAAATTCACTTTGTCAGTCTTTTTGTGCATTATTAATCATTTGACTCTACTTTGGTAAAGTATACCATTTATCAGAAGTCGACAATTCCAGAATATTTCATATGATCTCAGATGAAAAGAGAAACAGGTGGGGGCTCATGAAGGGCTAACTAATCACCGGAATCAAAGAAACTTGATCTAGAATGGGATGTATTAGAACTGCCGGAATCAATCGTGGGGACTATTATTACTGAACGGACGGTTTTATAGTTCTGTTACAGATGAAACCTTTACGGGCCGGTGATTTTTTATTCTACTAATATTATTTTTGAAATGCAAAGAAATTTTGTTTAACTAGGCGATTTTGGTATGATTTACAACATTTACGATAATTCTTCGTAGATGATTCTCTTGTTTACAAAAAATATTTTCCAGTTCTAAGAACAAAGTACATTTAGACCAGTTCATATCCCCCTTAATTTCCAACAATAAGGATGTGCATGTTTTTCCTCTTTCCGAGTTAAGGAAAGATCCTCTTTTAAGTGTTAACAAACAAGAGAACCCGAATCCAATGTTGATCTGTAATTAAGGACTTTTATATGGTCACAGGGAAAGATCATTATTATTATGAACGGCATGTGTTACATTTATTTATTTACTGGATGTTTATTTAATCTTTTTTAGGGTATTCAAGGACCAAAATAGCCCCTACTTCCTTGCTTCCCCCAAAGGAAGAGAAATCCCCCGTGATGAATTCTGCAACATTCAAAAAGAAAAAAAAGGGGAAAAAAACTGCCTTTGTTCGCACCTTGAAATCTGATTGTATGATCTATGTTAGATGAAACTTCTTATTAGTTGTTATCACTTAGATCAGACTCTTACTGCAGCCACCACTCAAATCCACCTATTCACGCAAATTTTAAAGTTTTTCATTCAATTGTTCTGTTTATTTTGCATTTTCTTTTTTTATTTTTCATTCATTCTTGAGTTTTGCTGGAATCCAACGCCCAAATGTGAACTCGAATGCATCTTTTCAGAAAAGAAAAGAAATTTTGTTGTAGGTTGACTCGGAGGATATTGAGGAGAAAAGGGCAAACCAATAATATAATTTCATGGATGAGAAAAATACAAAAGCACTTTAAAATTCATGATAACAAAGAAATAAATCTCATGCCCTTTTGAATAATTAGTATTCTTCCAACGTCCTAAACGAAAATTTTCCCTATATCATTCCCATCACAAGAAGTGTAATCCACACTACTAAAGTAACCATTTGTTACTTATAATTCTACACCTAATAACCTTTTTATCAAAAAGATATATTTTACCGATAAGGGAGATACTATACGCAATATTTGTAGACAATCGAAATGATTTTTCTGAGACTTACTCGAAATGTGTTTTTGAATTTTCTAAGAATGTTGCCCCATGATCTTGCGAAGGTTTTTTGACAGAAACTTTCGAATGGTGATGATTACGACAATGGAAAAGAGAAATAAAATATAAATTTTTAAGGTTACCATCTCATAAAAGTTAAAAGTTAAATTAAAATTGAATTTGGTTTGTTAAAGAGAATGCCAAAAAACAAAGGGTTGGTTTATGTAACTTTACTGAGGTCACTTTAGTTTTACTCGGCTTATGTAAAATAAAATATATTAGTAAATTACTTGATCACCTGGTAAATGATTTAATTAGGATTTGTTAATATAAGTCTCGCTTGACTTATATATATATATATATATATATATATATAAAACGTGTTAAATTTTGATAAAATTGACAAAAATTGGATGGTTTAGATAAAAATTCATGATCAAATCATAGAATTTTTCATCAATTAATAACGAATATCTTAAGATTTAGTTGTATTCTTGACTTATTTACTTCCCAAAAATTATGCATTTATATGTATGTATTTGCGTTCATTGGTCTTACATTTAAGAGCCTCCTAGAGCGACCACAAAATCTCTTTCAAGGTATTCTCATGTTAACATATCTGATATATCTCCATCATAATTCGCAGAAATGTGAAAGGTTTAGGTCTTAAAACTATATTTGAAATTGAAATAAATAAAGTGCTTGTGGTTCCTGAATGAGGAATATGATAATGATAGATAATTGTGATTCTTGATGAAACACACTACTAATGAAAATCAATCTCTTACTCTTTTTTTTTTTTTAATGAAACGCACTAATGGTAGGAAACGAACTTACATTATCATTCCTACTTTACCCAAATGGTAATACACGTAATTATTTAAGATTCAAAAGTCATTGTTACTTTACCTTAAACGATAATACATGGAGTATATAATTGTTTAAGATTTAAAAATTCTTTTTTGTACATTCGACCTTTACTCTCAGACAAAAAAATAAATTTCCAATTACTATCCATCACTAAATGCTTTGAATTAGACAAACCTCCCATCCCCGTTTTCCACTTACCGTTTTTTCTTTCAGGTGTACACGCTCGTCTAACGAATCTAGACGACTTGGCATTTATTAATTCTTTACTTGTGGACGATTTAACACAAATTTTAGTATGCCATTTATGATAACCAAAATACATTTTAAAATACCGTTTCAATGCTATTAAATTCCACATTCTTTGACAATTTATATTTCACACTAATTATTTAGGAAGTTTTTCACAACCCGTACAACGCACCACTAGTTTTTTATTATAATTCCACTTCCTTCAGATTTTCATTGCTTCTAATTTTACATTACAAAGAGTACCTATGTGAATTGGGCTTTCCGTGACACTTTCTCAGTTGCAGTCTTTGATCTCTATTACAGATTCTAATTAGGATTTTATGATTTATATTAATTTGTGTAATTTGTAATTTGCGTTACATCATTCTAATTTTATCTCTTCACCTTTTTAATTTATAGCCCCACTGAATTTTTTTTCTCTGCCATTGTAAATCTCGTCAACTCTTCTATTTTTTTTTTTTGTACAATAAAAGGAGGCAAAACGCCTATAACATCATATATAGAAGACCCTAATGATAGAGCAAAGTTCTTTTGGTTAAATTTGCTGCTTTTCTCACGCTTTGTTGTTACATTTGGGATATTGATCATCCTATTGGACGAGAAACATCATTCATTTCCCCAATATAGACTTCAATTGACACAATAGTATGTGCTCGATCCATCATCATAACTGAGTACAATATGTCATCTTATTAGATTATCAACAATTAAACACTTAATCAATTAAAAGTTAAAGGGTGGAATATCTTCATCAAACATGACCTTAGTCTTAAACTTTGAAACTTTAGTTGCACAACTAAAGCATATGCAAAACCAGCAAGTTGCACACTGGAATACCCTTTTGCAGTACATCGGTTCATGGCAAGAATCACACCGGGAATGATAACCACCTTCGCGGGCTAATTTCAGAGGATGGGGATGTGAACCAAATTCAAAAATGCCACCAAAAGTGAAATTCCGATACAGGACTCTGGGGATACAGAGAGGATGAAAGGATTGATTGCATTCCTTACAATGATAGTGCCATCTTTTTGGATGAATTTCTTCTTCGCAGATCTCACAATAGAAGTCGCCGGGACGATCACTGAAAGGAGGAAAGCTCAACAGAAGTGGATGCTTATCCCACCTATGATTGACAATTTCTGGTAGCGTGATACAAGCATAATCTAGAGAGAAATCACAGTCGAAGCAAGCGTAACCGAAAACAAACGAAAAACAGTCACCACAAGACCTGCACTTTTGATGGGTCGTTTCCAATCCAACCGTTCGTTCAAGCGGGTGTTCATGTGCTTTATGTATCAGTCTGGAGGGCAATAAAGCACATGTAACATCCAAGTAGTTCTTCTCGGCCACAAAATAGTAGCCATTAGAATCCAATTTGCAAGCGTAACACGTGAACTTGTCGCGAACGTCTTCAAGAAATGACAATGTAAACTCCTGGCTACTCCATTGATATAGAACAGGCAACTCTCCAGGCAACTGAGCACAAGTAAAGTGGAAAAAATAATTGCATTCTTCGCATTTACCGCTTGAAAATAAAATTGCCTTAGTGCAGACATCGCAAGTGATCTCATTGTTTTTCGAGTTTGAAACATTCTGCAGATCCAAAGAATCAATGGAATGTTCACATCGCCTGAGTTTTACACGTTCGGGTACTGCAACAATTTCCATCCCGAATTCTTTCCGTAACACGTGGTTGAATACCTCCGCAGAGTCATTTGTTGGAAATTTGACCAAATTGTCCCGACTCATCACTTTAGCTAGATGCGACTCTATGGATCCTCCAAAATCACTGCTTCAGAACTTAAAATAATCAATTCCAGGATGAATATACAAAGGGTTGAAAGTTGAATCTCAATGAAGTTCAGGAAACGGACTAGATAAGGAAACAAATAAACGATCCATATTTGTAAGCAGGAATTCCTGCAACTGCAGGGATTCGTAGTTAGAGACGTCTGAACACAATCTTAATTGATTCGAGAGAAGAATGATATGAATTTGAATAAAAAAACATTTGTCGAACTATTAAGGTGATTTACAAATGGACTACCAGCTAATTACATACGGATTATTGCACAATTGATTCCTGAGTACACACTAACAGAAACTTACTACCAAATAAAGACACATACCTTGGATTTCTATATTTTTCGAAGCATCCGAGATGAATTATGTACCTTGGATTTCTATATTTTTCGAAGCATCCGAGATGAATTATGTACCTACAAGGGCCACAATAATAGACCCAACTCCGAGAAGGTATATCCCGCAAGCAATAATCACAGGGTATTCCGAATCTCCGAAACTCATTGGGGACAGAATAAACAAGAGAAAGAGGGTGATCATGGTCTTTTCGGTAGTTTGTTGTTGGCAAAAATGCACAGCTCTCGTGGATCCATACTTGACAATCGACACATATATATGATTCCTGTTCATCTCCTCTTTCCCAACAAGCATCACAGCTGAAGATGGAAGGTCTTTGCAAAAGTGTCAATGGGTGTTCAGGATGGCAGGGGTGATTCAATTTGGTATCGATAAAAGCGCAGGAGAAGTGCAGATCAAACTCACACAAGGAGCAGTGGTAGGTGAATTTTACTAGAGCTTTGCGACATCTGTGACAACAGTGTAGTTCATCGTCCCGGCGATAAGGTGATTCAGCAAGAAGTGTGAGTTTATGGTTAGGATGCAGGGGATGCTCGGGGATCTCCCTTGGTAGCTCTGCACATCTTTGGTGAAGGAAGAATCGGCGTCCCTCAATACTGAAATTGGGACCCACTGATTCTTGGTGTAGAAATGGTTTTTGACAGGCATAACATAATTTTGACCATGGAACTTCATCATACCACTCCATAGTTCTCTGCTTTTCACTAAAATTTGCCCATGGTGCCCTTTAGTGCTTTGTCTGCATTTATGTAATAAAATGGTACGTATTATTTTAGAAGCGACAATGGGTGGAGGCTTGGAGCCGAGCTTTGGTTTTCTTTGGCTTAAACCCAAAAATCCTTTTCCCATCTTATTGTCTTTGTCAGATTCCTGTAGTTTTATTGAAACAATTCATTACTTGCCCATTTCCAGGCCTCCTCAACTACTTTGTGAAATGCTCTAACAAAGTTGATTCTGTTGGAAACTGTTGGAACCTGAATCAGGTTTCTTAAGCAGATTTTTCCTTTTCGAATTTGTCAAGTTTTCTTGTTGATTAATTTATTTTTGGCAAATCCGAATAAGGAATAACTTCAGACGTTTAACAATCCCATCTTTGAGGGGAAAAATAAAAATGACATGCTGGAAACTAAAACAGATGCCATTCTTTTTTAATGGCGAGAAGACACTTAAGATCGATGAACAAGCTCATCTTTTCCAAGTCTTTTCGTTAAAGACATTTTAGTAGGTAATCATTTATCAAGATATAAATAAACACATGAGCCCTCATTTTGGATTGGATTTAAAGAAGTGTATTGGTATAAATCAAAAGCTTGCTACCTTATTTTATGGATTGACTAAGTTAATCGGTCCAGTCATGGTTTTATTGCCTCTAGTTATACGTTACAAATTGGTGTTTAAGAGCAGTCAGGATGGATCTTCTATTATTGTTACCCTGAAGTGTCAATGGCGTGGAGCCAGTTTTGGTTTCTTTGGTTCAAACCTTAGGATCCTTTCCTTTCGTCTCGATTTTGTCAACTTTTCCAATGCCATTCCTGGCCATCCGTATAACTTCAGAGGTTTAACAATCCCAGCGTTGAGGAACAGTGATACCTCGTACATTTATTGTAAGAAATGCTGGAGATTAAAATAGGTAAACTTTATACAGTGTGTGGACTAGGAGTAGGGTTTTTTTTTTTTTTCGTGCAGAAAGAGTACCTAGGATTTTTATTTATTTTTTTTTGAAAAAGGTACCTGTAAATTTTATTAATTAGAGATATCTAAACTATCACATTGCATTCTACTATAAGCTAAATTATGTAATTCATGAACATCTTGCCTACCTACTTTAATCACAGGATTGAAAACAATCATTACTTAAGATCAATGAACAAGCAAACCATCATTAGACTCTTCCAATTTTGTTCTCTTTTGTTTTTTTAAAAAAAAGTGTTTTGAAATATTCATCTTAAAGAGACTAAATTGTCTAAATGGTCCCTTACATTTAGGCCTACTTGAATTTACATCCCTAACATTAACATTTCCATATCGTATTCCCAAATATTATGCTTTTAAACTTTTTTTTTTGTCCCATTTCATTGTTTCCGGACGTTGACATGCTGGAATCGGGGGTATTTTCGTCTTTTAATTTAATTTGAAATTCTATTAAAATTTAAATCATTAAAAATATTTTAAAATTTATATTTCATTATTTAATTGTTAAAATATTATTTATTAATTTTAAATATTATTATAAAATTTTAAAATTTACATTATTTTCAAAATTATTTTTTTCATTTACCATTTACCTTAGGTACACAGTAATAGTAATTATGTTGCACTTTTAACTTAACTGTAATTTAAAAAATTTACCGAATTACAGTAAATAATTCAAAATTCAATTTTTTTTATACAAAAAAGCAAACCAAGATTTTTTTTACTTCGGCTGCTACAGTAAGCCCTAAATGGTAATTATGTTACACTTTTAACCTTAGACCCACTGTAACTTAAAAAATTTACTGAGTTACAGTAAATAATTCAAAATTTATTTTTTTTAAAAAAAAAAGAAAAAGCAAAACCAAGATTTCTTTTACTTTGACTGCTACAGTAAACCCTAAATAGTAATTATGTTGCACTTTTGATATTGGGCCACTGTTACTTTAAAAATTTACCGAGTTACAGTAGATAATTCAAAATGCAAAATTTTTTTTAAAAAAATTGAAAAGCAAAACCAAGATTTTTGAAATATTCATTTTAAAAAGCAAAACCATTTGGACATTTTAATCTTTTAAACATTGTTATTCCAGTAGTTTTTCTGGTAGCCGTTGACCTTTCACCACAACAGTCGTAAAGTACTCCCTCCATCCCATAATTATTGTCCACTTTGCCCAAAAAATTTTGTCCCAAAATTATTGTCCAATTTGACTTCTTATGGATCAAGTTACACATTTGTCCTTAGTAAAAAACATTATCCATAAAATCTTAGTGGTTAAACAATTACGTATGTAGGGGTATATCCAGTTGTTTAAGGTAAAATATAGTTAAATTTGACCAAAAATAAAATCTTTCATTTTAGTAAAAGTGAACAATAATTATGGGACGGAGGGAGTATTAACTACTAATAATATTGATGTTACAATCGATCTATAATAATCCTTAAAAATTTCGCCAGCTCCAAAAAGGACATCTAAACCTAAAGGCTAAAGGGAAGATAACTCATAAGTTTCGTCGACATTCTAAAAGCAAGGCTATCTGTTGACCAAAAAAAAAAAAACCTAAGGCTATCATTCACATATCTTAGATGGACCAATAACCTTTCCTGAAGTTGCGAGTTTTGTTACACAATTCAGGCATATCCAGAACCGGCAACTTGAACATTCAAACACCCTTTTTCCATACATGAGTTCAAGGCAAGAATCACACTTGGAATAATAATCGCCTTCTCGGACAAATTCGAGAGGGTGCGGATGTTTACCATACTCAAGAGTGCCACCAAATTTGCAATTCCGGTACAAGATTTTAGGGATGCAATGAGGATGAAAAGATTGATCACATTCTTTACAGTGGTAGTGCCATCGTCTCGGATGAATCTCTTCTTCGCAGATTTCGCAATAGAATTCGCCAGGACGATCACTGAAAGGCGGAAAACTTAACATAAGCGTATGCTTATCCCACCTGTGATTCACACTCTCTGGTAGCGTGACGCATTCATAACCTAAATGGAATCTGCAATAAGGACATGTGTAATATTGCAAACTTGTGATAAGTTCGCCACAGGAACTACATTTGTTGGTTCCTCCCAATGTAACTGAAAGATGGTGATTGTGTGCTTTATGCATAAGTTTGGTGGGCAATACAGCACACTTGAGGTCAAAACAGAGTTTCTCAAGGGTTTGGCACTTGTAAAAATAACCATTGGAATCCAAGTTACAAGCTTTGCACTTGAGCATTTCCCACACGTACTGGTGAGAAACCTGAACAAGGTCATGTGATTGGGAATCGTATAAGAGTGGGCAGAGCAAATTTTCCGACGAGATCATTGCACATGGAGAGTGCACAAAATAATTGCATTTTTGACATTTGTAGCATGATGATGGGGAGACGCCGCCAATGGGTTCTGTGCATCGGTCGCATGCCGGATCAGTGTTTCTCCGTTCAGAATCATCCGGCAAAGTCACAAGAGCAAGTGGATGTCCGCAGTCGCCGAGTTTCATAGTTCCAGCAACCGGTGTGATTTCCGTCCTGTATAATTTTTCCAATATATGTCCAATTATTTCCACGAAGTTGTTAGTAGGCATCCTCACCAAGTCCGGTGGCGGTTGCTCAATTCCATGTCTGCCAATCACTAAACGTTGCGCAATCAACAAAAAAAAATAATAAATGATACTCTCTCAGTTCCAAACTAATTGTCCAGTTTGAATTTTTGGTTTCAGTATATAACTAAAAGTGAAAATCCAAACTGGACAATAATTTTGGGCCTGAGGGAGTATCAATTAATAAATCCTCAGTGAATGCCTGTTAAGTTGTTTCAGAATGACAAGTTAAATGGTTTTAAATTATTCTGTGATCAATAGATGAGTAGCCTACAGAGGGATTTCAATGATGATTTCCAATGCTTTTAATTCCAAATAACGACCTACTGATTACAAGACATTGTTGCACCATTGAGATGTGAGGAAACTGTGAAGTTCATGAAAAGATGCTCACCTTGGTTCTCTGTACTTTTCCAAACACCCAAAATGCAGAATGTACCTGCAAAGGCCACAATAGTAAACCCAATCCTCAAATGGTATGTCCTTAAAGCAGAAATCACAGGGAATTTTGTATCTGCGATACTCATTTGGAACACAATACGACACAGAAAGTGGGTGATCATGATCGCGTCGACTCGCGATTCCTGGTAACAGTGCACAGGAGAGATGAATCCATACCTGACATTGTGCACAAACATAAGACTGCTGATAACCATCTGACTTACAAGCATCACAGAGGAAGTTTGAACGTCGTCGCAGGAGTAATAACGGGTGTTCGTGGCACGGATGATCCAGTTTTGTTTCAGGAAAAGCGCACGAGACGTGCAGTCGGTACCAACAATCAGAACAATGGTAGAAGAAACTTTTGCACGGCTCATTACATCCATAGCAAATGGAGCGCCGCGAACGGATCTTTACATCCACCACGAGTTTGAGTTTGTGTTGAGGATGAAGGGGATGCTGCGAGATCTCGCTCGGCACTTCTGCACATCTTTTGTGAAGGAAAAGTTGGCATATCTCGCAGCTGAAAATGGGTTCCTTGGCTTCTGTTCGTAGTGGTTTTCGACAGACATAGCATAATCCAAACGTCGCTGAAGTTGCAGCTAAATCAATCTTTTCAACAAGTTTAAAGGGATGCTGTGGGTGGCTAGAATTATGCAGCTCTTCCATCTCTCCGCTTCTCAACTTCTACTTTGTTAATGGTTATAAAAGCTGGTTATGGTGTTTCAGATTCAGTTGCTTTTTCTACTTCATTCCATCGACACCGAGTACACTAAAATGGGCATGCGGATTCCTTAAGTCTAGGGAAAGGTATGATGGATAATATTCTCCAATCAGATTCCATCATGAGCCCATTCCACAACAATATTGAACCTTTATGAGATAACATGAATGGCTCAGGGGAGGAAAAGAATAAATAGAGTGAGAATGCAAGGGAAGGAAAGAATCCCCTGAAAAGGCAAAGCGATTACCACTTATTCATTGGAATGATTTATCAATGTGAATTTGAAAGCGTTTTATTCGAAAAAGGGTGCAAAGAGGACCGCAATGAATTTTATAAATCCAAACATTATAGCTGTTGCAAACATTTACATGGGCAAAGAAAACTTCTATAAGGAATTCTTTATTTTGAAGGCGGTTCATGAAAATGCTACAATATGAACTTTAATGTACAAAGCAATTTGCTTTTCCAAACATTTGATAGACCCTTAACAACATCAAGTGTCACACTCATCTTATTATAACTAGTACTGCAATGCAAGTAAGGAATATTTGTGGTACTGATCATCCAGAAATATTCTTAGACGCGCCAACAGTTTTTCCGGCAAATTAAACACTCGGCCCTTTTCCCAAACATTGGTTCGCGGCAAGAATCACATTTGGAATGATAGTCAAAAGGTTCCTAGGGTTTCTGCCATTGAAATGAAGAATAGGAGAGAGAAGGTCTGGAAGAATGTATTAGAAACTGTATATTTTGTCATATATCAACTCAACCGTAATCTACTTTGCTTTATACAGGATACTCCTTACTATAACTAACCAACTAACATGTATTTACATTACTGCCAACATATTTACAATTAATTATAAAACAGGTCCCTGATTACACCTAAGAACTATTTACACATTCAATTGCTAACATGTACATCAACCTGGATCTAAATCTTCAAGTCTTGGTTCCTTCATCTCAACTTTAATCTCTGATAGATAGTCGCTCGAGGACAAATTTGAGAGGATGCGGATGTTTACCATATTCAAGAATGCCACCAAAAATGCAATTCCGGACTTCGGGGATTCAGCTGGGATGAAAAGATTGATCGCATTCTCTACAGTAGTAGTGCCACCGTCTGGGATGAATTTCATCTTCACAAATCTCGCAATAGAAATCACCAGGACGATCACTAAAAGGAGGAAAGTTGAGCAGCAGTTGGTGCTTATCCCACCTGTGATTGATACTCAGTGGTAGCTTGATGCAACCATAATCCAAACAGAACCTGCAATCCTCACAGGAGTAAAGCAAGTCCGGGGAATTGTCTCCACAAGACGAGCAACGCCCGTACCATACCGTCCCTCGCCAGAGTCGATGTGGGTGCGCAGGATGCATCACGCGGTAGGGCGTAAAAGCACACTTCACATCAAAAGCAACCTTGGCACCATCGCAGAAGTTGTAAGAGTAAGAGTAACCATTACAATCCAATCTGCAATCGTAACATTTGATTCGGCTCCATACATTCTTTGGTGAAGACAACCGAAATATATGCAACCCATAGTCATCACATCTCGTGGTTGAGCACAGCTAAAGTGGAAAAAGTAAGTGCATTGTTCACATTTACCACATGAAGAAACTATTATTTCTGTGCATACGAAGCATTGAATTCCTGGGTTTTCTGAGTCCAAAACATTCTGGAGATTCTCAAAAACAAGGGAATGTTCGCATCGACCCGGATTCGAAATTTTGGTGTATTTCAGACAACATCGAGGCGCCAACATATATACCAGTACCTTCTCATGGTTTCTTGCAGGCATTTTGAATCCCTTCGGACCAAAATCCTCGTCCGCAGGTCCGCTAATTCTAAAACATTGCCTGTATCATTAAAAAAATAAAGAAAGTGGTAAACTTATATTTTCTAATTAGTTTAAGAATTTTCCGAAGAAATAGAGAAAGATGGAATCATTGGTATGCATTCGTAAGGAAATCTGGAATTATAGTTTCTGTAAAAATAAAGATGAAGAGAAAAGTTTATCCCAAGGAAATTTACTTTTTGGTTAATAGTCCTTTTGTGGATTGAGTAAGCGTGTTGTGAGAGATCCTAACCGTGTTGGTCGATATTTTCCAAAGCACCCGAGATGAAGAATGTACCGACAAAGATCACAATAATAAACCCAACTCTGAAAAGCTATATCCTCGAAACAGTAATCACATGGAATCTCAAGTCTACGAAACTCAGTTGGAACAGAATAAACCAGAGAAAGAGGGTAAATGTGATCTTCTCTTTAGTTGATTTCTGGCAATTGTGCACATTTCTTGTGGATCCACACTTGGCATGGAGCACAAATATAAAATTCCTCTTTATCTCTTCCCCAGCAAGCATCACAGGTGAAGATGGAAGGTCTTTGAAGAAGCGTCAATGGGTGGTTATGACAGGGATGATCAAGTTCTTTTGCCTCTGGAAAAGCGCATAAGGCGTGAAGATTAACCCGACTAACCGGACAGTGGTAGATGAAGCTTTGTTCGACAAGGTCCCGGTGACACGCTTGACAAAAGCGGAGCATTCCATTCCCCGAATCAAGAGGATTTGTGATAGAGTCTATAAATTGTGTTTTAATTGTTCTTATTTTACTAGTTTATGTACTCGGATGGGTTTAATTCATTATTTTTGTTATTATTTCTTGTTAGGAGCTGGAAATAAGAGATTGGAGCTGTTTTGGATGATTTTCCACGATCAGAGACTTAAATGCAAAATTGAAAACGTTTTGGGGCAAAACTAAAAATACTGCAAACTTGAGAGACCAAAATTGAAAATCGTGGATCTCTTTTTCTTTTCCAGCGGCTGACCCCTTTTTTATGGTCTTCCGAATAACTTCAGAGCTTTTACAATCCCCCAAGCATCTTACTAATCATGTTGAAATGCTTTATTTGGGATAGCTGCTGGAACATTAAACAGGTCATTTTATTTCTTAACAGAGTAAAAAGTTAGATGGATGAAGAAGCATGGTATCTCAACAGATTGTTTTTTTTCAGTGTTTTTCTTCTTTTATTAAAGCCTGGAAGTTAGTAACCAATCAACAAACAATTGAGCCCTGTAGAGGGATTGTAAAAATGGAATTGTAAGTTCGCACTTTGTGAGATTCCTGACTGGTAAAATAACGCCTGGGCTCTAGCCAGAATAAGGTTATGAAGCAATCATGAAACAAAAATATGTACTCCGATTTGTAATGTCATGTGTAGAGATAGAGATTTCATCAAAAATATGTACTCGAACCCATAATCTAAAACCGATAACCGATTACACAATCAGGGCATAATCTAAAATATACGTCCATCCTAAAAAGCCATAATTGTTGTCCTGCTTAGTTCAACAAATCGGACTTACTATGGGAAGAAAGAAGTGGCAAAATATATACTTCAGATTTCAGTACTGTCATCAGTAGTATAATCATAATGCTTAAAACATCTGTACAACCAATTAGATCCGATGGATTATCCTTGTTTTTAGTATGCACAGAATTAAAGACCGGGGAAAGGAAGAAGAGGCAAATGTGTCTTCATCACGAGGCTAACAGAGGATTAACAAGAACTGAGGCACTAAGATGTCATACAGGACAGCAGCTTCTGGCACAGTTGTTGTACATCTGCTGAAGAATCTGATGTTGATAAACTTCGGAGTAGTGTTCTTGCTTCTAGCAAACCTCCTGAAATTCTCTCAACAACTGTTTCTTCACTTGCCATTAGAGAAGCCAATAACTTGGCACCTGTAACCCTCACCTGTGTAATGGAAAAAACCAAAGGGATATGTCAAACTAAAGATTTATCTCACAAAATTTCTTTTTCCAAAAAGCGAAAAAGGTACAATCAATCCTTCAAAACAAGGAGCGCAAGCTAATTGATCAAATGAAACAGCAATCAAAAACTTTGTCTCTCACATATCAATTTCTCATCTAACATGGAATCAGAAACTTTTTGTTACTTGCTATAAATATGTGAGACATCATCATACTGTACGTGGATATTCAAAAGGGATGCAACAAAAGGAAAAAAAAAACATAAATACAATTTCTTATTGATAAAGTATACATGTCATGTTGAAGTTTACGAGGAGCATTGAAATTTCAAAAGATTTTCAAACTACCTGTTCCAAATCATCTCTGAGGCATCTCAAAGCAACCTTCAATATACCAGGTGCAAAGTTCCGAACTGCAGATTTGAGATGGAACACCACAGTGAACAACACCTGGTTGCAAGCTGCCCGAATTTCAGGTTCCACAGTGACCTGCCAGCAGAACAACTATTAGCAGAGAAGAATGAGAAGCTTTATGCTAAGAAAAACTAGACAATGCAAAACATATAACCTCAGAAGCAGCAATGACCGGTTGAACAATTCTCCGAGCCAATGGCTTTCTGCAAGAATCTGGTATCTTTTGACAAGCACTGATGAGAACATTTGCCATACAGAGACGATATGAGAGTTGCATTGTAGCTCCAGGTTCACTCAAAGAAGAATCATCATCCTCAGTCAATACACTTAGCACATGTGTGCAAACTGAACTTTCAATTATGGCATTGTCTGCAAATTCCAAGAGTACCAATTACCTCAGTTTAGCTTAAAGATCATTAAAAGGAAATGTAAACACCAGGAATACTAACCCAAACACTGTTTCTTATGAAGGGCATATCCAGCTTCGGAAGAACTTGTACCTGATTTTGAAGCTTCTAGTTCAGAACATATCATCCATGCCAGGCAATCAATGCATCCATGTTGTGCTTTCAAAACTGAATGTAACACGAAAGCAATTAGCAACCAGAGCTAAAAATAATTGATAAGATACATAACCCAACACTCACCATCATCTCTCCCGATCGAGCACCAGGATAAAATTGTTTTGATAGTGTTCCTAATTCTTATCATTCCAGGATGCTGATATGAATCCTTTCGTCGAACCTAAATTCAAAGAAGTTGGAAAATCAGTAATGATCTTTTTTCAGATCACTACGATCATTCCAAATGTAGGAACCTACAGTCTCAAATCGCCATCACAATCCCAATTCAACAAATCTAAGGCTAGTCCATGAGAGGATTAAAACTAAACCAACAATTACATGAAACAAATGCTGCAATATAATACTTAAAAATAATGAAACATATATCATTATGGACGATACAAATAACATTCATACCAAGAGGGAGGTACATATAGAAAACAGACAAGCTCTTATCTTCATTGTATCCTCAGCTTTTGCTGCAACTTCCAACTGAGAGGAGATGATAGGTATGAGAATCTGCAAAATCAAATTGATTGGAGAATTGTAATCAATACCTTTGTATAATGAGATGTAACAAATTGAGCAAATTATAAGATTATTAAACTAATGAGGCATAAAGAAAATCTGGGAAGATATATTCAAACAGAAGACTGTTTGAGCACAATGATGACAATACATAAATTCTACTACTACTCTCCGTAGATCTCAAAAAGCATATAATAGAATTAATCGAGATTATAGTATGACGCGGAAAAAGAAAGGAAGGAACAGCTTATACAGAAGTTACAAAAGGCATGTATGAAAGGTAACAAATAAGGATGCCAAAAGGGAATTTCTGAATCTTTAGGTTTGTATCAGGGATCAAGTATGACAAGGAAATTAGTCGCCTTACTCATTCATGAGCTTATTCAGCATTTCAAGAAATCTATCCATACTTGTATGCCATTTACTGACAACATACTTATAATCAATAATCTATCCGTACTTGTATGCTATTTACTGACAACATACTTATAATCAATAATCTATCCATAATTGTATGCTATTTAGTGACAACATACTTATAATCAATAAGATGATAAGATGGGACATGGTTTCAAAAGCATGAGGGTTCATTAAAATCTATGATGCTTCACCATCAAGTACAGCTAAAGTTGATTATATAGATTGCCAATCTAGTATGCACGTACTCCCTCCGTCCCGAAATTGTTGTCCAATTTGAGTTTTCGTTTTTAGTACATGTACTCCCTCCGTCCCGAAATTATTGTCCAGTTTGAGTTTTCATTTTTAGAACAAATTGAACTAAAAATGAAAACCAAACTGGAGAATAATTTTGGGATGGAGGGAGTAAATAACGGTTGAATGAATGTCAAATTTGATAAGAATCAGCTAAGTGCGCCTGGAATTTTTAAATATGCAAGATCTATCGCTAAAACAAATAGTCATTGATAAAGACATTATACAAAAAAAAAAATACGAAGAATGGATAAATGTGTTCTCTGTATTTGAAGAATAGAGTACGGTTGTTATGATCTCCAAAACACAAGCCATGACTCTGCAATATCCAATCTTGATTGCTGTCAATGCAACTGACAACTAACACTGAAGCCTAGCCCAACTTTTTCCACTTTCCACGAAAGAAAGAGTACAATAATTGAGTGAGGGAAAAATGTAATAGCATATCTCTAATGGCATTTTAGTCAGGTGCAGAGAAGGTGAGAGAGTAAATCAGTCAAGAACTATCAGCTTCATCAGCATCAGGACAGACCATGCCAGAAATGGCAAAATTCATTCCTCAAAAACAAAAAAGAAAGCAACCAGCAAAAGGAGACCTCAAAAACATTACATTAATTATTATCACCTCATGGCAACAAAGGCGGCATAGGACCTCAACAATAGGCAAAATCGCAAAGTTCAAACTTTTCTCTTTTATGACCGACATCAGCATGCAACCAGAGATACAAAGAGAACTCTCACTTACATGTGGATGGATGCGCCCACAGAGTTCTGCAGCAAGCTTGCGAACATCTTCGAATTCAAATTTATTGAGCGCTCTGATTAGAAGCATGGTCAGACAGTTGAAAAATCATGTAAAAGAAATAAACCATGTTAAGTCACTTGCACCGACCTGCTCATGAGAAGTGAACCGACGCATTCAGTATCATCCAAGTTGAAAGTTCCAGCATCTGAAGGCATCAACAGCACAAAAGCAAATGTGAGATACTAATAATGAATCAACTGTTCAACTACCAAACACAAGACCAAAGGTTAAAAGGTTAGCGTCAATGATATCCAAACACGAAAATCAACGGGTTAACTATCCTTAGGAAACAAGAAAATCACACAAATCTTACCCAAAATCTGTAAACCAAGAGATAGAATCAAAAAGCTCTGTAAGGAGCCAGTTTGAGAGCTTAATGAAACTGCCAAAACTGTTACTTCCATCCTGAATTCTAAAATTCCTAATCTGAGTTTTTGTCTCTAAGGTTTGGTAAGTGCCACCTTTTAGAAATTGAGTGTGGATGGGAAATTTATTCTTTATTACAGTCAAGGATGAACATTAATCTAAATTGGTTCTAGTTTTCTAGTCTCTAACACTGAATTCAATAGAAACTCCTGTTACGATTTGTCTTCTCCAAAATCATGCAACTTTGCCTTGGGTTAAGTGCCTAAAGGTCCCCAGGTGCGATGTCTAAGATGCTCTGGATTGATCTGACAGAAAATATCTCAAGCAATTTTTTAGGAGTTTTCTGTTCATACACAGTTCTGCCTTCCTAAAAGCTGAAAAAGTGTCTAAGGTCTGCTTCGGGCGAGGAGGATTGCATAACATCATCAATTATGAAAAATGTACAGAATGTAGCAAACAGGGTCATGAAGAAATCTGTTAATTGCAGGCGAAAAATTGGCAAACAATAAAAAGATAAAACCACACTGGTATTTTAAGGGCTCTCTAGTCCAGATATTCACCACCACATAGGTACAATGGATGTCTAGTTACTTCTAAGAGAGAAAGAAGGGAGGAGAATGTCTCTACACATATTAAACACACAATAAAACAAACTTTTCGAAGACCTGAAATACAAGTGATCGGTGAATTGCATCACCAATGAAAAGATGAACATAGTATGTAGAAAAGCTATAATAAGCACTATTAAATAAAGAGGATTATTCAAAAAAATAAAAATCAAAAATCAAAGGATCAATATATAACAAAAATTATACGTACCATCTTTGATTTTCCGTATCAAATTTTCTCCATACATTAAAGGAGAGCCGAGATCATCAAAAACTCGTAAAGGAAGCACCCGGATAACTAATAATGGGCAAAGATGACTAAAGATGGAAGTTTCGCATTCCAAAGAATCATTGCCCTGACAGGTTTCTGTCTTCCCCTCCAAAGCACCATCCTCAATGCTGCGAAATAAAGTAAGTCAACATAACTGAGAGATGATTTGAGATCAGAAGAGTATCTACAGCACTTCCTTCAGTATCAAAATAAACAGAAAACATAGGAGAACTACATTAATTAAGAAGTCAAATGCAGCAAGCAGCATCAAATGCATTACTCATTTAAACCAAGAAACAAGTAAAGTAAATGAAACGAGAACATCATCTTAATTTCGACATTCAATCAGAAACATTAGTAAAGAAGCAAATTTGACTCTTCTATGAACTTTTCAACTTAATTTCAAAGCTAACTTTATCACACTTATAAACTTTTAAGAGGCAGAATCACACTAATAAGCATTATCAAATGTGAGGAATTTTTCACATCTTTGTAAAATTAAAAGCTACAAGTAAAAAATCCAAAGCAGAATAATTAGTAAAAACACATTAGGTCCATGAAGATCATCTTTTGCTAACATCATCGATTTTCAACAATCAAAGTGTAGGTATTTACATATTAAGCTAGTCAAAGGGGAAGACTGTAGCTGGCCAACTTTTAACTCACTCTTTTTGTCCTGCTGCATACTGGAGGAGTCGATGAAAGACCAGATCTGCTGCATCTGCTAATTGGTCACTTATGTAACTGCAGGACCGAATAACAACTGCATTTGATGGCTCTTCAAAGAGCTTGTCAAACAACACATTGATCATCCTGTTCCAATCTTCAACCTGAAGGCAGAAATAAGACATCAACCATTGAAACAAAATATCACTGAACTTGAAAAAAAGCTATCAGTCCAATAAGAATGGCACCAGAAACATGTTCAGCCCATCATTCTACTTTCAATTCTAAATGTGCTACTTATATTTGCATAATCCGAAATGAATTGTTGCATGTTCAGCTAAGAACAAGAAAAGGTGAGGTTACACATGATATATGCCGAACATATGAATTCATTAGCCACAACCAACATAGACCTGATTCAGAAGCAACCGAAAGTAATAGATAACTTGTCAAAGCCAATCCAGATAGTTACTTTTAATCTAAAACAGAAAAAAATAACAAACAGCATCATTTGCTGAGAGTCAAATAGCCGTAAGTAAACCTGATAGGCACATCATTTGTACTGTATTCCTTCATTTTCAAATTACTGGCTAACACGTTTATATTAATCTAAATAAAAAAATCATTTGCCATCATTTTAAATCATGCTTTTGACACATATCCATCCAAGAAACGTTTTGTTTCAACAAACACAACGAGTGTATGGTGGAGATGGAAAAAAAGAACTATGTTACTGCAGTGCAGTAAAGAAGGATGTTAAGGAGATGAAAAACATCACCACATTTGACCACTCTGGTAAAAGCTTCAGAACTTTGTCAGTATCCAATTTCGGTCCTACAAAATTGAATTCACAACATAAATTTTCATCAGCAATAATGACCCAAAACCAAAGAATTACACAGCACCAGCATGATGGCAAAGCTTTTCTTAAGGATAATAACGATAGATGTAAATGCTGAATTTAATGGAAATTGCTTAGACTCGGGACAAGTAGGAGGAAGTCAAAATAATTACGAGTCTCTCCTATAACGAGTGATTAGACATAGGCCAATCTCCAAAAACTGAATTCTCCAGAAAAAAATTAAGCATGATTTAGTTTTTTATTAAGTTATAAAGTCTCTGTTGTCCCTTTCAAAAGAACTACAAACTCATATCCTCTAAATAATTAGCAATTTGCATCAGATATACCCATAACTTGATAAAGACACAAGTGAACACTTTTTTGTTTTTCCTTTTAATTCTTTATTGAGAAAAAAGTTTAATCACTAACCTACTACAAAAATATAACATCCTAAACCAAGATAGACTGATGAACTAGCAACATTTAGAAGCTAGGGGAAAAAGTGACAAACCTAACGCCTTTTGTTAAGGGAATCTAAACTCTAATATTAATTTTTTAAACAAGGACAAAACACGTAATTTTCATCTAAAGCCTCTGAACAAACATGCTCAGTTCTAATACAAACTTTGTCTGCATAGATGCAAGAGCAAAATATTGAAAAATAACACGAAATGTTTGTCTCTCTTTTCTAAAGTTCTTTTCCATCTATGCCAGCAATAACGGCTCAAAACCAGACACGTAATCAAAATAAAGAATGCCGACAAAGAGTTTGGAAAATTGTAAAACACCTTTTGCGTTTCCAATGTCATCCGAAGTGTTGCAAAGACAGCTGCACATGCCAAGATTGATTGTTAAATAATAACAATAGTTGGGGTACATAATTAGAGAAAACCAGAAAGATTTCTCTAAGCTTCTCTATTACTTTTCTGATTTGCACTGATTGGTATTGCCATGCTAGAGTTGGCAATTTCAAGTAATTTGCAAGGCAGATATTTAGTGCAAAAAATGACCGAGTGATTTGTGCGCTGGAGGGACAACTCAGGGCAGGGGAAAGTTTGAACATAAATATAAATTCTCAAAGATGTCTTTTTTCATACCTAAGATTATCAAGAAGCAAACACAACACCTCAGGTTCATCTTTGTGACTTTTCAAAACAGCAAGTAATGCCTCACTCGCCACAGACTCCACCATATCATTTGAAATGTAGCTAAGACGAACCAGACCAGGCAAAACTAATGAAGAATCTGCAATTGTAAATAATACAGTTACTAGGTGGAAGAACACCCAAAGTTCGTAAAGCCACATCAGGAACATTAACAGAAAGAACCCTTGAGAAACCATAAAAAAATGAAAGAAGATTTAGAAACGATCCAACCAGGACACACCTAGGATACACAATATCAAAACTTTGTTAAAATGTTTAGAAAATCAATATAGAAGAAGGAAGTTAACAGTCAAGCATTCATTACAGGGACAATAAAATTGACCAAAAACAGAAAAGATTCAGAAAGGAAAACAACACCCTTCGAATCATATCTAGAAAACTTCTCAAAATAAAACAAAGAAAAAAGAAACTGTTATTACTTTATAATCAAGTAGTTTCACATTATAAATTTGGCTAAGGAGCCTTATCGCATGCCCTCCAAAATCGGACACTTCAATATAAAGAAACCTGCCAAACCATGAGAACTTGATTCAAATTAATAAAAAGGTCACATTATAAACTTTGTTCATACCAAGTAGAGGAAGTAGTTCAGATGCCCTTGTTTGAATAACAGGTTCTTCATCTTCAAGGAACTGCAACAAGAGGCCTGCTATATCTTGCCTTTGATTCAAGAAAGATGAAGCCAAATTAGAGAATACTAAAGGATAACAGAGGAGGCTCAAAAAGGAGATCAAAAATCCAAAACAATGGCCTTATACCACATCTGATGTGAAAGTGAGCAACTAGACTGGAGAGACGAGTGAATGACCTCTGAAATCACATCAATGGCATTCATCCTCTGTGAAAAGTTTCCAGAAAAGAGATCCTTCAAAATATCTCGAAGGCAATGATTGCCTGAGCACCTACCACATCAACATGATAGTTTATGCTCCAGCTTACAACTAATACAGAAAGTTATTGTTAAAATTTCAAAAGACGGTGAACCAGAAAAACATTCTTACAAAGAAAAATAATCCGCAACAAGTTTCACAACAGCTTTGGATGCACCATCACGCTCATCCAGTAGATGTAATAGCATTGGCAGTACAGAATCAAGCTCTCTAACATTGCTACTATAGTCTTTCGACGAAGTAACATGAGTCCTAAATATGGCAGCTTTGAAGAGGCATATGGCACTATTAATCACATCCTCATCAGCACATTGAAACTACAAAATGCAACACAACTTTTACTACGGAGTTCAGAAATTATAATATATCCACTGTGTTAGCTCTATATTAATATTCAAGAGAGATACAAAATAAGTTGCATGAAAAATCCAAGCTAAACCTCGTATAGCTAAGACACTTTTATACAACTGAATATAAAAGGAAATATGACAAACTACTTAAGGCACTGGGGTAAATGTCAAAAAGTGAATACATTTAATATTGAATCCCCGTAAACCTATCCTACCATCTAATCAAAAGAAGAAAAATCTGCACTATATAACCTTCATATATTTTTCCCGTCAACATTGCTCACAGATAGATACGTCCTTTCCTTCCCATTGAAAATAAAACACGTTGAGTAACTTAAGCAAGGACTACATTCTAAATATCACATAAGTGGCTTCAGTTTCTACCAATAGGACCATACTCTTGTCAGGAAATATCTCCTTAATAACTCATTCGCTATCCATCAAGCCAAATCTATATTTCGCGTTTCATGATCTAATACGTGCAGGTGAACATTTCTATGAAATTTAGCCCTTTGTTAGAATATTGTCTTTGCATCAAATTCTTTTACCCAGAACGATCACATATCTCTCGTAGGCTGCTCTTTCAACTTAAGCTACAGTAAGAAGCATGGAGATCAACGAAAACAGTATGCATATATCATCAAAAACAGACTAAGTGACAATGCTAATCGTTCCTTAAACAAGTGTCAGGATGCTACCAGTGATATGAGAACTCTAGACAGCATGGTTCCATGTTCCGCTAATGCTTCTTCAAATTTCTTCCCATCTAATTTACCCAGCAGAAGAGAGAGACAGTTCAAGAAAAACTTTATCGTCTGAATTGCACTATCTTTTTCTGCAGCAGGTTCATCACCATGGTTTACAGTAAAAGGCTGCATATATAACATCCAACGGAAAAACACAATGAGCATATTTAATCAGAAAATGGAAAGACATCTCGAGCATAGTATGAGGTTTATAATGGCAGTTCTAACCTCTATTCCAGATAGGTACTCATTAAATAAATCTCTGTAATGCAGACGAAAGAAGTTATCAGCCAGGTGGGCCAGCATGCCATAGTGCTTCCAACAAGATGAGAGCAGCAATATTCCAGTCTTAATCATTTGCATGTCTGTTAAACATAATTAAGAAATTAAGAAGACGCAAAAAACATACAACTGGCATAAAAGATTAACGGACTATCTGAACACCTGCCTCATCTTGAATGCAAGCATATTGTGCTTGAGTTCCCTGCAACCACTCGAACACTCTTTCCAACCCACTTGAATGCAATGGCCTGCTTTTCCTACTCCACTGCAAAGCATTAACTCTATGAATGATTTGACTATGAAAAGATTCACCAAAGTAAAATTACCTAAAGCAATTATACACAGAACGCAGCTGGGTTTTTGCAGCATCATAACTAGTTGGCAATATATAACAAAAAATAATTAACAGACAGCAGCCTGAAAAAGTAACACCACCGCCAATAACTTAATGGATTTGAACAAGCACACAACACAAACAACTTGAAACGCTATTAGAAATTATTTCTGCTGGTGCAATTCCAGGGTGTCAGGGCAAGGAATAATTCCTAATATTGAATATCCAATAGAAAGAAAATCATTGAATTAGGTCATCTGAAGATTGGGTCATCATTGTCTGGATTAGGAACCACATGTGCACTCTCGTAGTCTGTGTGATACTAACAGGCATTCAAATTTTTAAAATCAGAAAGCAATGGTATCAATAACATGTAGCCACATCTAGAAACATTCTATATGTTCCAAAGAGAGGATATAATGCCCCCTTATTTTGGATTCTTTTTTTTTTTTTTGGTTGGTTATAAAAAAAAAACCAAAAAAAAAAGAAAGATATCTGTTGGCAAAACATACAGCTTTCAGTCTCCCGACAAGAGCAATCAAGTCATCCAAATGAACCCAGAGCAATGATTTCGTTCCCATGTCCTTTAGGAAAGCAGAAACTTTTCCAGATTGCTTCACTTTGACACCAGAAGCGGCATCCACAAAAAAAACAGCCTGATCTTGCGCATCAAGATCATGCGGCTTCCCTTTGTAATAAGAGATGTCAGATGCAATGTTTCTCCTTGTTAAGGCCACTGTAAGAGATAGAACAAAATCAGCAGAAGCCACTGCAAGCCTGGTTGGCAACTCAAATCCATCTCGTACGATGCTGCACATGGAAGAGTTCAATCATGAAAATCGCAAGTTGAAACAAAACATTTACAAACATTATAGGAGTGATAAACTCAAATCTCCAAATCCCATCTACTGCAATATGCAACCACATTATCGGGACAACACCCACAACTCAACTTTTATCCTACATGAACTGGCCATTTAATTAATATCTTGAAGAATGCAAGGAAAACATATCCTCTCTGAATTTGACTGCCATTCCCATTCGATTTGACTCAACATTTTCGACTTTTAGCAAATCATATTGGGGAATCTAAAGGCCTGCTGCACATGAATGATGAAGCCATCATAAGTGATGCGGGCGGAAGCATGAAAAGAAGGAACACCACTTTGATTCATGATCACCATGAACAAAGGCAATGGTTTTTAGACAAAAACCAATAATAACCATAACACAGGCACTCAGCCGTGAAAAGAGAACTCGCAATTCTGAAACTTAATTATCAAATGTCATAAAAACTACCTCTCTGTAAACGTACAGCAACCCTATTTATAGTTAAACCCTAAACTTAAAAAAGGAAAATATCTAAAAAGACTTGAAAATTCTGTAAAACACTAAAACATCCCTAAATTAAAATTTCCTAATAGTTCTTAAACCCTAATTTTTATTTTTCCCTGCATCAGTAAGTGTGTTTCTATCTCTCATCGAATGAAGAAACCAGGTGCTTTCTCTTTAGTGCAAGCATCACTTATTTCATGTAGTCTAATGCCCCCCTCACAATGATTTCAACATTATCATTCCTGCTACCTTACAATATTTTCAGATAGAATAATAAAAGAAATGATGTGCAGTAAAATTTCAGAACCAAAATTTTCCACGTGTTACATGGAAATGACTTTCATAAAACATATGATAAAAATAAAATAAAATGTAAAGAAAACGGCTTTTTAAATGACTAATCAGCAAATGGTGACAAGCTCTGGATAGCATAAGAGTAATCCCAAAAAAAAATTGTTTTAGTTCAAACAGCAACACAGGAAAACTAAAGGTCCAACTGTATGAGATATCTGTGGCATGCGCGTCTTTCTCACTTGTTTACATGGTTAGTGAATATTATGGTACTTCACATGAGAATAACCCTTAACTAAATGTAGAAACAATCATTTCCTGTGGTAATGAGCCGGAGTAGAAAGGTTCAAATGCCTAACAATCATTTTCTTTAGCATGTAACATCAAAGTAAAATGTTTTATCTTCAAAGGCGATGTAGATATTGCAATAAGGAAAAAGAAATCGAAAATGCTACTTACCTTCCCCTGGTTATAAGGGTCAAAAGCTGTCTGATACATGAACACAGAATTTTCAAAAGAGCAGCATACTTGTCCTGTATTCCTACATAGAATGGATTATCAGTCATCATCAGATACAACAAAAGAAGGAAACAATCTTCATGAAGCTTCCAAGCATGTAAAAGACACTTAAAAAACGAAAAGGCTTACTAATATGAGGATCCAGATTAAAATTTATAGTTACACCTTAATTGCCCAAAGTTCATATAATGTTCATGATCTCTGTTACATCTTTCATTTACAAGATTAGCATTACATGGCTACCTCGCAGAGTTCCCCTCAAACCTCAGCCTTGCTTTACAAACCAAACACCCTCGAACAGGAAAGTAGCCAATAAACTAATCTTTTAAACTATCTTCCAAATATTTTGCTGAATTTTTCTTTACTAGGATTCTGCCATCATCCAGTGTTACGTTAAAGCAAAATCAACTCATCCTGTGATCATAAACCATCTGCTTTGTCAAATAGTTGGTTTTATAATCATATACATAATCGTAAGAAAAGAACAGTCAAAGGTGTCAGCTTGCTAAGATTTACAGTAACTATTTTACCCAAAAAGTAAAAACAGATTCAGTTGGCTCAATGTCCTCATCAGGGGGGATGCTTAAAGCTCCCCAAAATAGATTTATAAGTGTGGTATGAAACAGATGGAGCTCGTAAATATGCAAATGGAACTTTCATAATTGAATCTTTCTTCCCATAAAGCTATTCACAAATGGTCATGTTACCTTTTGTTATCAGCTGACTCATACTAGTCTCATAGTCTACAAGACAACGAGCAAGGATACACCAACCCAGTGCCATATAGTGATCGTCTTTTCTCAATATAATATCAGCAAAATTTCTTGCGAGGGCGTGGAAAATAATGTCATCTCCAAAAAGCCAATTAAGCAGTATCAATGGCTGACTACTATGCTGAGAGTCCCTAAATTTCAGTGACTGAAAAGAGAAGACAAACAAAAGAAAATTAAGCACATCAACAAGCAAAATGCTCAAGGCATATCAGTAAAGCATTTACAAGAATAAGGAAAAAGGATGCAGCACAGCAGCATTTTCACAAAGAAAACAAATAGAATATCTTAAATGGGTTGCAGATTGAAAATATAAAACTTCTAAGCAATTCAAAGTAGGAGAAGCAATCCCATCGCATCATATGCTATAGTATTAGGGAATTACTAAGGAAAGTCAAAAACAGAACATTCCCAAAACCTACATGTTCAATCATGGGAACTAGAACTTCATCCAAATTCTCCTCCTTTTCTGCAGCCTCCCCAACATAATTGTGAAGAAACCATAATGACTGCTCCAAAGAAACTGTTGAGGAAAAAAAAACCAACAATTAGAAGAAATCCCTACCATTACCAAAAAAAAAAAACAAATGAACATTTTACCAACTTAGTTGCTGTAACAGTACCACTAAGAGGGGCAATTTTAGGAGGGGAGCTCAGACGAGAGATGGCGTCTTGAAGTTTCTTCGGCCGAGAAGTAAGTAGTGTGTGCATAACCCGGCCAAGGGTTGCGGACAGCATTGAATTCGTCTCGGTGGACGATAAGAAGGGATTGGACTTCCATATCAGCTCTTCCCGATTCTCTTCTTCCATTGATGATGATGATGATTTCCGTGTATCCCTCTGCAAATTTTTACTGAATGATTCTGATTCAATTGAAGAAGACAGAACTCTGAAGTTTTGGGGTAAATATATATATTAGAAAAAGATGGTTCCTGTCTTTCAGAATTCAGACTTCTTATAAAAGGCGTGGTCTTTATTTACGGCGAGGTCCTGAAAGACTTCAAAACTACTTCCCTCCATTTATCCTTCTCCGTATCTCTGCAAAACTTCATCTTTTAACAACCTCGGATGGTTCTTCCGCTTCTCCAAGAACCCCTTATTCACATCCCTCAAAACCTCCCAAAAAACCCTTTCAGCCATGGATGTTTCGAGGAGGATTACAGAAGAATCTGCAATCTTTTGCTCGCTTTTACTCGGTCGAGATCACTTGTTCATGGCCAAGCATTGCATTCCCACGTAATCAAGTCAGGAGTTCAAATCATCCCTTTAGTGTCCCACCACCTGATCAACCTGTATTCCAAGCTTCAACGCCCATTTGACTCCCAAAATGTTTTTCATGAAGCCCCTTTTAAATCGTCGACGACTTGGAGCTCTATGATTTCTACGTTCGCTCAGAATGAACTCCCTGTTTTGGCCGTTTCTTATTTTCGAGGAATGTTCGGTAATGGGATCACCGTTGATGACCGTATTTTGCCCTGTACTGTCAAGGCCTGCGCGTCTATGAGTAGGCATGACGTTGGGATGTCAATGCATTGTCTTTCTGTGAAAAATGGGTTGAATTTGAATGTGTTTGTTGGGAGTTCTCTGGTTGATATGTACGCCAAATGTGGGAAATTGGGTCACGCCAGGCAGCTGTTTGATGAAATGCCTGAGAAAAATGTGGTGTCTTGGAGTGGGATGATTTATGGGTATGCCCAAATGGGGGAGGAGAACGAAGCTTTGCTACTTTTTAAGAAGGCTTTGGAAGTTGGTTTGGATGTTAATGACTTCACATTTTCAAGCGTCGTTCGTGTTTGTGGAAACTCCACATTGCTTGAGCTTGGGAGGCAAATGCATAGCTTGTGCGTGAAACTAAATTATGATGCATCAAGTTTCGTGGGAAGTTCGTTAATCTCCTTGTACTCGAAGTGTGGTGTTGTAGAGAATGCTTATCGTGTTTTTGATGAGGTCACGGTTAAGAATTTAGGGATTTGGAATTCCATGTTTATTGCTTGTGCTCAGCATGGACATACACAGAAACTGTTTGAGTTGTTTGAGAGGATGGAGAGCGTAGGAATGAAGCCAAATTTTATCACGTTCCTAGCCGTGCTTTATTCATGTAGCCATGCAGGTTTAGTTAGTGAAGGGAAGTACTACTTTGGGTTAATGAAAGAGTATGGAATTGAGCCCGGGGATCAGCATTATTCTTCCATGGTAGACTTGCTAGGCCGAGCTGGAAAACTGCAGGAGGCTAACAAAATTATTGAGGAAATGCCCATTCAGCCAACAGAATCAGTGTGGGGAGCTTTATTAACCGGATGCCGAATACATGGGAAAGCTGAGTTGGCAGCTTATGCAGCTGACAGGATCCTCGAGTTAGGTTCTGTGAACTCCGGTTTTCATGTTCTATTGTCCAATGTTTATGCAGCTGCTGGTCGGTATGAAGAGGCTGCAAAGGCCAGAAAGAAGTTGAGGGATCTGGGAGTCAAGAAGGAAACAGGTTTAAGTTGGGTTGAAGAAGGAAACAAAGTACATACCTTTGCTGCAGGGGAAAGGCGTCACCCTATGTACAAGGAAATCTACAAAAAGCTTGAGGACTTAGAGAAAGAAATGGAGGAAGCAGGATATGTTATGGACACTAGTCAGGTGTTACGAGAAGTTGGTAACGAAGAAAAAACTGAGGCAATTAGGTATCACAGTGAAAGAATCGCTATTGCATTTGCACTATTAACCTTTCCTCCTGAAAGGCCGATTAGAGTTATGAAGAACTTGCGTGTTTGTGGTGATTGCCACACTGCAATAAAATTCATGTCAAAATGCACAGGAAGAATAATAATTGTTAGAGATAACAAGCGGTTCCATCATTTTGCAAATGGTGTATGCTCTTGTGGGGACTACTGGTAAATTGGAGCCAACTACTGCGACTGGATTTGGCTATTGACTGGTCACTGTCTTCTGAAGCAAGAATCTCATGGAATTTGGCTGATTCTTGAGCTTACAGAATCAGTAGAGAAGGGTCTGGTCTCTTTTTTTTTTTTTTTTTTGCAGTCTATCCCATGAAATTGCTACTATGGTTGATTGGATTAATTAGGGCCGCTGCAAATATATATCTAGAGAAGAATGAGAATGAAATAGCATAAACACATCGTGTAGCAACTGATAATTGGTTGGAAACTCAATATTTGTTGATTGTCCAGGCAGGGAAATACAGAGAAGAAGACTTTGAACCATCTTTGTTACTTCTAGTGCCTCACAAAAGTTAGGGACTTGGGAGTGCAGAAAAATTAATGATAGTAAGAAGGTTGTAGTATACTACCTTTTATTTCAATAACTTAACCTTTGAAAAACTAATATTGTAGTATCTACGTCTATTTTTAATACTAGTAATATTTAAAGGTTACCTGTTTGCATTGTCTTACAGAAAATTAAAAATTTGTAATTAGAATTATTTCGTTTTGTGAAAGAAATAATGAAGGGTTTTTAATAGTGCAAATGCAATAGGTTAGTATTATACTAGATATTAAACCCGCACGATGTGCGGGGTTTATACATATACATCTATTAAAATATATTTTTAAATTTTAAATGTGATTAATACAAATAAAGTAACTGGTTTGTAATAATAAGTATATAATTAAAATTAAATTAGATCGTGATAAATAAAATTGTTATATATATTTTGAAATGACAACATTTTATAAATTTGTATGCCAAAAATGTAATTAAATAATGGAATATGTATAAGGATTATATACAAATAAAAGTAAAAAAGATCACCAAAATAGTAAATCAGATGTTACATGTCATATAAATCAAAGCAATTTATGTCTACGTGGTTAAAAACGCATGGTAATCAAGATTGCACACAATTGGAAAAAGAGACACCTTACATGTTAAATAAAACATGATCGGAGTGAGGTCGTCGACGCAAAGATGTTTTGTAAAGTATATAAGATGCTTCGTTTCAGTGTTTCACCGGTTGTCATTGTACATGTTAGAGTTAGATCGAAGTGGATATTTATAGTGAATGTCTGAATGAGATATCATAACCAGTAACTAAAGTAAAATTCATAATTATGGAATAAAAATGATAACATCACGTTGATTAAGGGATAAGATTGGTGGGAAAATGACTTCCATTGCATTAATGTTGATTAGTATTTTTCAATTAAATTTGATTAGTTTTTAATCACTAAAGAATTCCCACTTTCCAGCACGTTGAACTTAGGTTTTAAATCAATCAAGTAGTGATTTTAGGGATTATTTTGTAGAGGGATTTTTTTTTATTCGAATTGACTGGGTAAAAAATCCCGGTGAATTAATGTTGAAAATAATAAATGCCTTATCCCTCTGAACTTATAATTTAAATCAATCAATTAATACTAATTGGGGATTATTTTTTGGAGGGATTATTTTTGAGAGGGAATAATTCTGATGCATTAATGTTCATTAATTCCGTCTATTAAATTTAATTAATTTTTATTTTTCTATTTTAAACTATAGTTTTAAATGCCATTTGATAAAACTTTATTTACATAAAATTTGAAGGACTAATGTATAATTGTTGTAAATATTTTTTGACTCAACCTACAGAAAAATGACACATAAGATTTTATCCTTTGTGGCGCCTTTAGAATTCTTTTTTGTTTTCTTTCTCTAGTTTGTCTCTTAGTATAATACTATAGATTTCTAAGGGTTTTTCGTTTTGTGAAATTCTCTCTCTCTCTCTCTCTCTCTCTCTCTCTCTCTCTCTCTCTCTCTCTCTCTCTCTCTCTCTCTCTCTCTCTCTCTCTCTCTCTCTCTCTCTCTCTCTCTCTCTCTCTCTCTCTCTCTCTCTCTCTCTCTCTCTCTCTCTCTCTCTCTCTCTCTCTCTCTGTGTGTGTGTGTGTGTGTGTATTTCTTAGCCTCCTATAATGCTTTATAATCGTAGTTCCTT